GCCCCCGCCAGCCCCCTCCGCCCCCGTGGGCGCGTGCCCGGCGTGGGCCCCGCCAAAGAAATGAGCCTCCAGGGTACGGAAATGGTTCCTGCTGCGTCTGGATCCTCCCGCCCCGGGGCCTCGCCCGCAGCGAGGCCCGGGCGCAGGCCGGCGCCCCGTCCTGAGGGCTGTGTGGGGCCGCGGCGCAGCTGGTGCCCCGGTCACTGGGCAGCCCCGAGGGGACCGGGCGCCTGTCGGGGCCTCACCCGCGCTCCATGCTCCACGCCCAGGCGCACACAGATGGGTCAATAGGGGTTTTTACAAAAGGGGAGAGGAGAAGGAGACAACGCAGGGAGAGCGGGATGCAGAGCAACTGCAATACCTTTCTCTGCTGACCGAACACACCGTCCCGCAGACCAGAGGCCGTTTCCCAGGGAGACAGCGATCAGCCTTAGTTAGCCCCCCAATGTCCCAGAATTCCTGCTAGCTCCGCCCTTGGGTCCTCCCACCTCTCTCCCTGGTACTGCTGGGAGTTGCAGTAGCTCTCTCTGGGGTGGGGGGTGGGGTCCACACGACAATGCCCCGCTCCTTTGGCACAGCCTTCCCCTGAGCACCCCGGCAGCCAGGGCAGCCCATCAGAAGCCACACCCCCTGCCCAGCTTGCCCTCTGGGAGCAGCCAGTTCCTCCTGGCTTCCTCTCCCCAAAGCTCTGCCCGCCGTGGCTTCAACTCCCCAGTACAGCCTGCAGCCTGTGGCCCCAGAGCCTGCTCACTGCCCGCTTCCTTCCTGTAGTCTGGGGGCAGCCGCCCCCTCATCATTCCAGCTGGGCCGGTGCCTTCAGAGTCCAAAATGAGCTAGGAAACGTGCTTGAGTGCGTTCTCATCATTCCAAGCTCTGTGAAGCTAGTGACAAGCCGGGAAGCCACAGGCGGGCACAGCGTCCCCTGCCACCCGCCACCAGGCCGAATCCTGCCCCACTGAGCACGCAGCCCAGCTGCCCTGGAATTCTGAAGGCCCGGGAGGAGCCGCTCGCCGCTGCCCAGGCCACACTCTGGGAGGACTGTCTGTCTGCGGAGTGTGGTAGGGACGTGCCCACCGTGATGGGGAGAGGCAGGGAGGGTCCAGGGCTGAGGAAAAGGACAGATGGCCAGAGGGGTGGCCGGGTTGGGCCTCCTGCCTTGGGTTGTCCTTCCCAGCCCCGAGCTGCAGACAGTCCTCGGCCTGCTCCCCGGCTGGCTCCACCCCAGATCCCAGCCCATCCCAGGGCGCCAGGCTG